GAATTATTATGTTGTATGTGTGGGTTATGAATATTCAGTGGAAATAATAATAATTAAATGAAATTTGGCCAAATGTGTAATTATCCGGAAATATGTTAATTTATGTAATTACGCACATTTTAATTATGCCAATTCGAGAGGTAATCGTATTAATTATGTGAGTGGGTGTAATTATGATAACGCAAGTCGTTATGATAACCAGACCCCGGTTCACCCCGTTATCGCTTTAACATTTACTGAGTATGTATTAGTGTGTTTATTAAGGTCACCAAGTTCAAATCTCAACGCAGAAGCAGATCTTATGCATAGATTTCAGGAAAGAATCACACAACCACTTCTGTATTGATCAATTTATTACTAATTCAACCTTAACTATGATATAGTATGCGAACTCTCAATCCCGGAACGTCAATACGGCATCAATACAGTATCATCAACGATTGTCGGATTTCACTTCGACAACTGCACATGGATCCCGCATAACGCGATGGTTGTTAGTGAGAGAGAGAGTCGTTAAAACGTGCAAATACTATGCTAAGAAAACCTTAACGTTAATAAATGATTATACTCAATATTGTTCACGCAGTACCGCACTCCTTATTGATCATACGCAACCCTTATCACGTTGTTAACACCTTGGGTCACGGAACAGTTGAATATTCTGTAGAGGATGCGAGTACGTGCGGCGATTATGACTGAAAGATACTTGAAAGATTATACGGCGATAAAAAAAAAACACAATCAAAAACAGTTATTATTCTTAAAGGCACCAATCTCAACAGATACATCGGCAGGTTATCTCAGAACGGCTCGGAGTAGGGGCCTGCGACGGTGCTCCTTTTCCGAAGATCGTTATCTTATACCAAGTTTACTAATTGGGGACCAGATCACCTGATAAGGATCCGGTGGGCCACCACTCCCCACGTGAGCGTGGCTCGGCGGAAGGAGGTGCCAAGAATCAGTTCGTATTGATGGATCTGTTGGGAATTTATGCGATTAAGAGTACAGCCCACTAAATATTAAAGATAAAAATTAAGAATACTCTTATACGACGGAGGCCACCACTCGGTCTCGTTGTGATGCCTTCCCAGCCACGGATGACTTATGGGTTCGAGTGTGTTTGAGTGGTAAGAGTTGTCTTGAATAGTCAGTGTTCGGAGTCGATTCTTTATGTCAAACAGACGCCTGGTGGTCGTGTGGTGAGGGGGCGGTGCGCGTCATACGTATCAGGCGCTCTCCTGTCACCGTGGTGAATTGGCTCGGATGGCTGTTGATACGCTGTCGCAGTTCGGAACCCGGTCGGTAGGTGGCGCCCACAACTCGCTCGTAGCGTGCAGCGTTGGATCGTCGCCAAGTCGCGACGCTCACCACCGGCGGCAGCGGAGATCTCCGGCGGCAGCAGAGATTGACGAGCTGAAGATGAGTCGAGCCGACCCGCTGGTCGCAGCTCGCTCCTGAGTCGACCCTCCCGGTCGAGCTCGCTCCTGGGTCGACCCGCTGGTCGCCCTCGCTCCTGAGTCGACTCTCTGGTCGCACTCCTGAGTGGACCCACTGGTCGCACTCGTTCCTGAGTCGACCCTCCCGGTCGAGCTTCTGAGTGGACCCTCCCGTCGCACTCCTGCTGAGTCGACCCTCCCGGTCGAGCTTCTGAGTGGACCCTCCCGTCGCACTGGTTTCCAATGTTCAGGATCCGTTCCTTTATGCTGAAAAATCCCCCTGGATCCCGCCCACAAGGCGGGGCTTCCGATTTTTGCTGTGTCAGGATCTGTCCGTAGGCAGGTGTGTCCATGTGTGTGTCCGTATGTCCTTGTGTGCATCACTGACGGTATATTCCGTTGTCAACTCCCTCCATAAAACCCACGAGCAAACAACCAGATGTTACAAATTGTCTCGAAGTCGTCTCTCTGTCTGGGTGCAATTTATCTCTTGTCTGGCCTTCTTCATGAACCCAAAACACAGACGTTACAAATCGTCTCATAGGCGTCTTTGTTCGTGTTGCACAACCTGGAGGGGGGCAACACTCTCTCCGACCCGGCGCACAAAGAAATGGTTAAAAGTTTTAAGTTAACATTTGTCCCTTACTATTTCACAGTTATGATTCTGTATGTAACCTAAGGTCTGTCGTTTCCCATCGTGGTTCCCGACCCAAGTGTAGGTGTTTCCCCGAGCGTACACACACTCCTATCCCGCGCTGCGGGGATACAAAGACGGCCGGGATCTCCCTTTCTCTCCGACCCTGGGTTTAACATCGTTTTTTTTATTATGTATTTATATTCGACCTGGTGGTGATTCATCCCGTTATCCTGGCTTTTCCATAAGTTTTACTTTTGTCTTTCATGCATATACTTATTACTATTAATTTATTTCCGATATCTTAGGTTAAGGGGTAAGTTTCTTGATCCTAGGAATTCGTATTCCTTGGTGCCTGGATGGTTATATAAGCGGAATATAGTTTACGGTGAATAGCGTTAACATTGATGTTATGTGCGATATTATGTATTGTGATGTCTTTAACTTAACTTGTTTGTCAGGGCTTTACTGACACGAAGTTGCATTCCTAGCCCGCAGTCTTTGCCCCACCCTATCTCTGCTCGCCGTTGTTGTTGCCTGCCGTTAATTCAAGGCCTCATTAATTTCCGTCACCCCTGAGTAGGTGAGGGCGGTTGAACCTTGGAGTCAGTTCTGGTTTTTGTCTGCCTGCTTCTTCTTGTGTCCCCTGACCCCGGGAGTTATTATTCTACTTTATGGCCTGTCGAAGCCCCACTCGCTGTTGCTGGGCTGGTGTTGTTCCCGGCTTTTTGCTTACGTTTGCAGTTCGCCGTGCTCTTGATTTCCTTCCCTCTTCAACCTTATATTGACTATTCGCTCCTGTCTGGGTGCGATTCAATTTTGACTTAGGAAGGTTCTGATTGTCATATGCTTCGGGTCGAATTGTATAGAAAGTATTGAAGTATGGAAATAACATTTCATATTGACTTAATGATGGTGATGGTTCAGTAGGCGTAACTTGTGACCTGGTTTAATTGGAGTGGGTGTGAATATCAATAACTTTAGCCTACTCTGTTGTTAAATTCCGACTTTAACGTTACTTTAATAGCAATACAGAATAATTGAGCTTTTTGTCTTAACTAGGCGAATGCGAACTTCTGGTGACCCCCGCAGCCGTGTTGTTCAGCTGGGTCTTGTGCCTTGAGAGATATACAACCCTCTTTTAAATCACCTCTCCCCCTGCCAACCTTCTGCTCTGGGAGTGTTTATTCTTGATTCCAGGTCCAAGGCCCCCTCACATCCAGACGCACAGGGTTGTTTACATCAGCTCCCCCCCTGTGCACGTGTTCTAACTAGCTCGGAATTCCTGAACACACAATCAGTGATGATTCCTGGCTTTCTGTGGTTGTGATTTAGACAAAGGCGCCTCTGTTTCTTCCATTGCCTTTGAGTCGACACTGCCCTATTATTTGCCCATGTGCTGAGGTCATAGAATTCGTTTTGACTTCAGTAATATTAACATTCAGTATTGGATTAGCAAATGGGCAATGGTTCATTGATGTAGCTCGCAGCCTGGTCTCCAGTTTGAGCGAGCGCGAGGATCGATAATTTAGCCTACTCTGTTGTTGAATTTCGAATTTTGACGTTACTTTAAAACCATGCAGGATGATTGGGCTTTTGCCTTAACTATGTCTGGCTGACACTCCCACTGTCTCTGCCGCCTGCACGGGTGACATGTGCCCGTTCATCAGGCCTTATCTTCCCTTGAAGCAACGTTGTAAATTCTGCCATCCTAGCCCTCCTCCGGTTCATTACTTAACAACACCTGGTGTTTTGCAGTTTGCTGCGCTTGGTGTGTTTCACTCATTAAAAAAAACAAGTAAAAAGATAATATATAAAAATCATCAAATATTATTAATCTCAATTATGGAAGAAGGGTTAGTATACAACACCCCGCACGCCCCTTCACTCACCAAAGTACTTGTTTCTCTCAGGCGCGTCATCAATCAAATTCTGAGGCGGCATCCCGAGGATCTACACACAATTCACACAGAGACAATGATCACCCATACAGTATTGACACACTTGTGTGGAAAGTTCTGTTTGTGAGCACCTACTGATGATGGCACAGCACCCAAGGCCACACCACAGCAACTATTTTACAAATCACTCCAGGTATTGATTTAATGCTGAGTCGATATTTGAGAGGCCAAGGACTGGTCCAACATTCAACACCACACGGTCAGGGTGCTAACCACTCGGCTACCGCTCCCGATGGTTCTCGCATGCAGGCACGGGGCAGTGTTATTGGCATGGCCCAGCAAAACCGCGAACGCCGCACGTTGCAGAAGTTCACGGATCAATCCCAGTGACTGCCCTGGTCTTTACTGCGGTATTAAACCACAAAATACTATGCACCATCTGCCTCATTCACAGCGGAGGTAATGGGTCCCGTGGCGTCATTTGAAATTGCTTATATGGTTGTGAGAATTTTCTTCATTACAAGCAGTTGAGATGAAACAACAATAATTGGCGCGATAAATGCTCGTTCATCTGACAATTCAAATTATTTGCAGGTGGTGTAGGGTTACATTTGGCCAATCCGGGGCCTCATGCAATAATCTATCACGAGTCATAACACCAGCTCTAAAAATCTATGCGTTCCGCTCACAGTTACCTTGACAGGTCTACGCCTGAGTAATTGGTTCTGTCATGCGGTTGTATCCAACTCAGTAGCTTGTGTGTGGACAACCATGCAACCAGTCGCGAGCAGTCGTACGCCTCTTTCTCACAGAAGAGACGACTCAAGTGGTCTGCTCAGGGAATTGTAAGGAAGTATTTCCTGTCGCATGTTCAATTGGTCATACCAATTCTGAATATTATTTTAATACCCTTGATGCGGAAATACTCGATGAGAAGTGAAAAACATGGTTAGAAGCAATGACTGAGTTGCGCGATTTCAAGAGCAAATTGGTCATGAAATTGATCACTCAATAACGGAATTGTCAGTGTTACTGCTGTGTGGGCAATACCTCCATATAACACGGGAGCTGGTCGTGTTTGTTGATGGCCGGAAAGAGGATGCGCCCGGTAGCCAACTCGGCCACTGTACACCCCAGCCCCCACATGTCAACCGGGAAAGATGACATGTGGCCCAGGTATGCCTCTGGGGCAAGGTACGCAGGGGAACCAAAAATCTGTGAACCTGTGAATTACAAAATACAAACATAACCAATATAACCTTTAACAGCAACACACAGGCACGAAAAAACATGTATACAAACACATGTACTCACCCATAGGTCTAGACACATGCACACACAGGTGAAGAGACGCAAACACGTGTGCACATACACAAAACGTCCCCATATAGCCTTTAACAAATTTATCTGGCATTTACTTTTAGCGAGCACCTAATGAAGGCCTGAACAACACACACGAAGATGGGTGGCCAGCACCACGCCCAGCCACCTTTGTCTTCTAAACTGGTGGTGCTTAGACACCGCACATGGTACTCATTTATGGCTGAGTCAACCTAGGGGAGGCCCAGGACTGGTTCAGATATTCATGAACGCAAATTTTACTACAGTCACCAGGATTGTAGTGCTGTCGACTAACCCCAACACTACGGTTCCTCACTGCATAAACAAAGAAAAGTTCCCCCGTGTAGCCTTAGACATTGTTGGGGCAGGTGCAATTAGTGACCACCTATGAAGTCCAAAACGACACTTGAGGGGGGTGGGTGGCCTGCACCATGCCTTTGTCTCCTGAGTGGCATTGTTTACACACCACACCAGGTACTCATTTGAGACTGAGTCTACCTAGGGGAGGCTCACAACCAGTTCAGAAAATCGCCACTCTCACCTGGGTCACCAGTTTCGTAATGCAGTGTGTTAACCACTACACTACCGCTCCTTGAACTGCATACACACACATTCTCATACTCAGCCACACACTCACGACTCACGTTGGCGTCCCACCAAAAAGCTGTTTTCAAAACTCATCATCCGGATGGTCCCTGCCCCAGGCTCTTTAATCGACATGTTCCTCTAGACGATAGGCAGCAGAAGATATTCACATTCAGAGGTCATGATAAATAATGTCAACTTGTAATACGCCAAGGCCATGCAGTATTCACTCTATCTGGAAGAGAGAGAACCACTCCGAGGCACGAGGAGGGGCCACAGATGATGTTTCACACCATTGGTGTGATCCACCAACCTGCGGCTCTACAGTGCTGGATTACAGGCATGCACAACTATTCAGCCTGCAGCAGATTGGTCATGTAGCAAAATACCACAATAAATATTAAAAGGGGAATCTGAGATGACACGCTTTTGCCAAGGTTATTCATCGCAACTCAAGAGAATGTTTTCTGACGGATGCCACTGGGGTGCCCTTTCAAATGTATTTAGATGAGATTATTCCAATCTCTAATCTCATATAGAGCACTCTGGGGTGCCCGGCGTAAAGGAGGGCGCTCTTATCATACCTGTATGACGATTGTTACAAGAGGGCCGAACGGAGCTTGTAGCTGTGAGTGTTAGTTAGGCAGAAGCATGCACATGCATGAAGTTGGTAATGCATTCTCATGCGCATGAGCAGCATGGAAACAGGTGGGCAGCTGTCAGGTTAAAGCACAGTTGCTTAATTTCAAAGCGTCCTTTTACTTGCACTGGTTTGTGTCTCCATGATTTGGGCAATGCTTTGTTTCGACATGTCTGCTTTTTTCTAGTGCGAGTCCCTAATAGCAACAAAACTTTAAACTCAAGTTTCACCCATATATAACCCTCTGTACAGTTATCATGACCCGCAGCTACTGACAGTTGGACAGAGCAGATGCATTAACGCTTTGATCAATGGGTATAGGTTCTACGAAGATGAGCCCCGAACGGGAACTCAAATTAATGTTGCAGTTGTGCGGAACCTGGTGTCCACTCACCGGCTGGATATCCCCATGCACGATTCCCTTTGCATGGAGATGAATGAGGAATTTGAGGATGGACTTGGTGAAGAGTTTCACCATTGTCATCTCAATGTGCTGGGGTGCCGTGCAATCAATGGCACTTAACAGACGTCTTCTGTTAAGGAGACAACAACACAAAGTCAGTGCCATCCTTTAAAGGGCTGAGTAAGCAATAAAAATTATTAACAATTATTATACTCGTTTATCCATGGAAGCCTCACTAAATGTAAACACTTTTTTCCTGAGGGTCCTGCCAAGTTTCTCCTGTCGGGGTGACATTGTTCCGATGTGTAATCCCAACTGAGTTATTTTTAAGGTATTTTCTCAGCACTGGCAAATTTGGCCGATGCCAATTAAATTATGTGCGAGTGTTTCGCTATTGGAGGAATGTGGAGAATGGGGATAAATTCCATGCAGAACAAGTGGAGAACAAACTCCACACAGACACTTATCCGAGTCAGCAATCGAACCCAAGCTCTTGGAATGATGCACGAGTGTTACCACTGCCGTCACACTGACGGTTGTCGGTGTGGCTATCGAAAAATTAGCAAGGCTGGAGAAGAAAATGGAGTGGAGCAGCCAGCTTTACATGTCTCTGCTCAGACAGCAGGGTACGTACTTCGGTATGAGCTGCATGACGAGGCAGTTGTGACCCCTGAAGGTGAAAAAGTCGAGGATTCTGACAACGTTGACATCATCATTGGCCCAGCCCTGAAGTTGGAGCAAGATGTGGTACTCCATCCACTGGCTGTGGTCTTCCTTGGCACTAAACAGCGGAAATCCACAGCTTCATATTAATTACAATAATTGACCCTTGTAACAGTTTGTCGCTCGCTCTCAAAGACAGTTGTCCTTCACCGCATCTGCGATTAACAGTGGGCTACGTACAGGCGCGAAAGAAGTTAAACATAAATCCAGAGAAAACCCACACATATGAACACCATAACACTACCCACGTAAATATGGAATTGATTTACTGTCCTGCCTTCTCCATGCAAGCCATTGTGAAGTCTTACCTGAATGACTCTCCACATCTTCACAGCCACTCGGGTGTTGGTCTTGTGGTCACGGCATTTGAAGATCTGGCTGTAAGGTCCGACCACCTTCTTCAGCACCTCATATCGGAAATGGAGATGCTCATGCTCGACCTGCGGTGCAATCACATCAACTAAGTATACTGATCCAATCACTGCTCATTCAGTCACTGAGTATGGATGCAATATATGTGTGGCATGTGTAAGAGTTAGTGTGAATGTGTAGGGTATGTTGTCCGCCTGTTCTGCAGATTATTATGGTGTTTGTCAGTGTGCAGACTTTGTGTGTTCTCCACGTGTTACGTGACCTGAGGAGAGTCGTACCGAGACATAATGGTTGCAGACATCATCGTAGCCATGGTTTTGAGTGCCAAAGCCTTTGTTATGGACTCCGAAATACCAGACGTTATTCACGTTGAGGACCTCGCTTCTCTCGGTGGGGGTCAGGAAATCCCCAAAGAGCTTCAAGATTTCTGCAAACATAAGAACAATGATTAATATTGTCCTATTATAATATTGCTTTGTCAAATAAAACATTTTCGTTTCTTTAATTTGTTCACTAAGCAATGTGGTCGTGTTTTTTTTTCATTGCATTTTTAACCAGTTCCGTATTCCTGTAACATGTGAAGAACAGACTGATAACGAATTTGGTATCACCACCTACAGTGAGGGAAAAAAAGTATTTGATCCCCTGCTGATTATGTACGTTTGCCCACTGACAAAGAAATGATCAGTCTATAATTTTAATGCTAGGTTTATTTGAACAGTGAAAGACAGAATAACAACCACAAAATCCAGAAAAACGCAGAGCCGGGCTCTGCTTGAACTGATGCCGTGAGCCCAGCAGCTGTGTAGAAGCCCGCGGCTGTCGGCCGCCTTTGTCTCTCCCCCGCCACTGCTGACGTGTCCACGCCACGCGAGGTTCTCACCTTCAGGCTGAGTGGACCTCGAGGAGGCCCAGACAGCGAACCGCTTCAGAAGTTGGCGCCACTCGCCCCGGCGGAAGCAGCAGCGGGGGAGGGGGTATGGGGGGGAGGGGGTATGGGGGGGAGGGGGTATGGGGGGGGAGGGGGTATGGGGGGGAGGGGGTATGGGGGGGAGGGGGTATGGGGGGGGGCGGTCGAAAGGCGCGGAGAGAGCAGCAGCAGAAGCAGCAGCAGCAGCATCATCATCGCGTGTGGAGATCAGCCGAGAGGAGTGGATCCGAGCTGTGTATTAGTGGTGGTGTGGTAGTAGTGGTGTTAGTGGTGGTGGAGGTGTTAGTGGTGGTGGGGTTGTTATTGGTGGTGGGGGTGTTAGTGGTGGTGGTTAATGGTGGGATTGTTGTTAGTGGTGGTGTTAGTGGTGGTCTGTTAAGGCTATTACGGGGGAGCTTTGTCTTTGGTGGTGTTCGTGGGGGGAGGGGGGCGTCGGGGTGGGGAAGGTACTGGGGGGGAGGGGCTTACGGGCTGTTGCGTCACGAGGGCGTGCTCACCGGGCCCCGCCCCCACTTCTGGCGATTTTTATTTGTCACAGGCGGCGACTCTGGAGCAAGTGTCTCTCATGAAATTGTCTTTTCCGAGACCAAGGTTCTCTGCAAACCTCCCGGCTACCATCAAAGGTTTGTACACGAAGCCATACAAATATACAAACACAGACATAATTTCAACCGTGATGATGGGTACAAACTTAGTAATCATTGGAAAGATGTGATCAACCACGCAAAAAAGACTTAATTACACTTTTTTGGACCATCTTATCTGACAGGCACTATTTTACTTTACTTTACCGAGTGTTAACATCCCCAGTGTTTAACAGTACTCTCTTCATTGTTCAGCCAGCATTGGTATAAACATGGGCATTTTCATTATTTTTCTATCATGTGTATCAGGCCTCCCCTCCCCCTCTCTGTCCAATGCGTTGGCGTTGTGCAACAGCAACCGCGTCCACGCCGTCGTCCATTCTTTTGGCCCCGCTCACCTCCCCCTCCCGATGCGTTGTACGTGGCACTCCGTGCCGTCTTTGAGCCCCGCCCCCCTCCCGATACGTTCCATTCATTGGCTACCACATTCTGATGAGCTCCCGCCCCCTCTCCTCCCCCTCAACTTGCTTTTAAGGGATTACATCTTGAATCATTGCCTCACTTGATGCAGCTAATCCGGCTGTGACGGTCCCACCTGATGACGGAGACTTGTGTTGCCTCCGAAACGTCGTGATTTTTGTTTTATTTTTTTATTAATTTTGATGTTTTACCTACGTGACTTTACCGGAAAAAAAAACCTGTGAGTGAGTGGTGATGTGAGTGGTGAGGACGTGTGTGTGTCTGTGTAGTGTACTGGCAGGAGGAATGGTGGTGTTAGTGGTGTTACTGATAGTGGTGGTGTGTTGTGAGTGGTGACAATGTGAGTTCATGTCAGAATCAGAATACTTATACTGGAGGAGTCTGTTGATGATGTGAGTTTCTTGTTAAAGATGTGGGTCCGTGTTAATGATGTGGGTTTGTGTTGATGATGTTGGTTAACGGTGAGGATGAGTCTGTGATGTGACGTGACTCGTGTTGAGACCCTGTGTGACCCTCGCCTTCGTCTCCCGCTCTCCACGCAGAGACCCGGACCGTGTGAGAGACGCCGCGAGTTCTGTGCACCCTGCACTGTACGTGTACCAGTCGGGGAGCGGGCAGTATTATTGCGGTGAACACCACGCTGCCCTCCAAGTTCGACTCCCGCTCACGGCCACCAACACTGCTGACGATTACCTCAGCCGCTCCTAGGCCTCCCCGTGTAGCCGTTGCGAGCAGCACCGATGAAGGCCGGCACGGCACGTGACACCAGTGTTGGTGGCCGTGAGCGGGAATCGAACCCTGGGTGGCAAGGTTCGTAGCGAAGCGCGCTAATCACTACACTACCGCACACACACAGACACACACAAACACACAGACACACACAGACACACAACAACCGCCATTCGCCACTAAGTGGCGGTGACGTCACCACGACGCTTGTGCCAGGCCATGTGCACCTTGAGGCCACGTGAAGTGTCGAACGCCCGCTGGCAGGAGGTCATGGGGCAGACCCAGGTGCCACGGGTCGACTGACTGAGATGACTGAGATGGCTGCCTGATGCACCACCTGTGCCCCCTACTGTGCCAACTTGCTGTGCTTTAGCCACCCGGCACTCCGCTCGTTGTTGTGAGCGTCGCTCCTCCGTCCTTCGTTGGTGTTGGAGGGCAACTGCCTCCAACTGCCCAGTAGCGTCCTTCACGAGCCTCCTCCACTGAGGCCGATCTTGACACCGCTGGTACCAGTCATCGACAAGTCCACTCAGCTCCACGTCCTCCTGTACCACATCACTCCATCTTTTCTCTAGCCCGTGCTGCGCCTATTTAGCCCCCTCGATCCGGCCGAACAAAAGCTGTTTAGGCATGCGGTGGCTGGGTATGCAGGCTACATGACCCAGCCAACGCAGCCTTGCCTGCCGGAGGAGCTCACCGATGGGACTTTGCCCAGATCTTTCAAGGATTTGTGAGCTCCTCACACAATCCAGCCTGGTTAAACCCAGGATGGATCGTAGGCAGGCCAGCCTAAATGTTTTTAACCGGCGAAGATGCTCCATTAGGGTGGTCCACGTTTCGCAAGCGTAGAGAAGGGAGGGAATGACTGTGGCCGAGAAGACCTGAAAATTCGAGCGGAGTGACAGACCAGGCAGCTTCCACACAGCGTTACGCAACCGATGAAAAGATATTGCTGCTCGACTGATTCGGAGTGAGACCTCCGCTGCCAAACCGGAGCCGGTCATGAGCACACTGCCCAGGTATGGGAAACTTTCCACTCTCTCCACAACTGCCCCATCACCGATTGAGAGTTGTGGGGGTGGAGTGTCTGATGGTACAAAATACCCAGGCAGGTGCTTAATTTTGGTGGGGCTAATGGTAATGCCCCACCTCTTAGTGGCACATTCCAGTTTCAGCAGAAGCGTCTCTAACTCCTCCTCTGAATGAGCAGCAATTACCAAATCATCGGCATACATAACGTGGTTGACCAATAGGGAGAAATCCCTTGACCGCCCCCGGGCATCAATCAGTCTCCCATTATATCTGTACCAAATGGAAATTCCCCCGGTACAGCTATTGAAGGCTTCACGAACTACGTGGTCAAAATAGATGTTAAATAATGTGGGAGCCAGAGGACATCCCCGTCGCACCCCAAGGTGTATAGGGAATGGCTCTGACTCCCAGCCACGTAGTTTTACCCGGGCCCACTCACCATCATGAAGGTCCTTAATGATTGTGAGCAGAGGGTCAGGGACTATGAAAGCACGAAGAACAACCCAGAGCCCAGGCCTACTGATGGTATCATAGACCTTGACCAGATCAATAAAGCAGAGATGTAGGTCTTGTTGGAATTCCCTACATCTCTGCTGTAGCAGACAGACAGATAATATGGCATATGTGAAAGACCTCCCTTTCCTGAAACCGCATTGGGGCTCCGCAAGCCTCTCCTCAGCGTGCCTAGCAAGGCGATGTTGAATAATCCTTGCCAGGACCTTTCCCGGCATACTGAGGAGTGAGATGCCCCTGTAGTTGTTACAGTCTGTGCGGTCCCCCTTCTTAAAGAGGGGGACCACCAGGGCATATTTCTAGTCCTATGGAACCCGTCCAGTGGTCCAGACTGTTGTCATGATGTCATGTAGGGCAGTCTGTGCACAAACGCCACCCTCCCTCAGCATTTTGCTTGGGAGATCATCTCTGCCCGGTGCCTTTCCTGGTCTCAGACTCTGGATCGCCTTCCGTACTTCCTCAACCAATGGCACCTCAGCCAGCCACTCACAGGGGGTGACTTCCAATATTTGAGGCACCGCAGCCTCAACAGGGTCATCCCCACTTTGTCCCACGTTGTTTTCCTGGGTAAGGGATTTCCCCTACCCTAGGACCTCACAGAAATGCTCAGAAAATCTGCAAACTTGTTCCTGGGGGTCGGAGATTGGATCACCATTCTTTCCCCTAATGATGGTAATAGGTGTGGTGCTGCAGGTTACTTTTGTCATGAAATTAAAGAGCGATTTGTTCTTGCGGGCCACTGAGGCAGACTCCTATCTCCTCAGCAACCCGTGACCACCAGCCATCCTTGCAGCGCCTCACGGCTCTCCGAACCTCCGAGCGAAGGCTGCGGTAAGCCTCCTCATTCTCTGATGTGGGATGCTGTAGACGATTAGAGTGGGCCTTTCGCTTTTTCTCAACCATCCTGAACACCTCCTCTGTCATCCAGGGTCTTTGGGGAGGTCTGGACCACGTTCCCAAAGCAGCCATTACAGCTGCATGAGTCACAGTCCTAAACCTTGCCCATTTACTCTCGACATCAGGAGTGGGGGACGATGCCAACCCCAGCCGCAAGCGTTGATGAAATTCTCGCTTGCAACTTTCATAAGCTAACTGAGACCAGGCCACTTTAGGTTGGAATGGGGTCTTGGGTGTACATCCACCACCGGAGTGGAAGAATGGCAGGCGCATCTTACAGATGACTAGTCAGTCGATGGTCAGAGGGCAGATCAGCTCCACGGTAGGTCCTGGTGTCAAGGACATGGGCTCGCATCCACTGATCCGTCACTATGTAGTCCAGCAGATGTTCTTGCTTGGATCCAGCATGCATCCGTGATGTTGTGTTAATGCGCCGATGCCGGAACAGCGTGTTAGTAATTACAAGATCATTGGCTGCACAAAAATCTAGCAGCCTCCTACCGTTGTTATTGAACTGATCTGGCCCATGCCTTTCAATCACTACAGACCAGGTGCAGACACACAACAACAACTGCCATTCGCCACTAAGTGGCGGTGACGTCACCACGACGCTTGTGCCAGGCCATGTGCACCTTGAGGCCACGTGAAGTGTCGAACGCCCGCGGGCAGGAGGTCACGGGGCAGACCCAGGTGCCACGGGTTGACTGACTGAGATGACCGAAATGACTGGCTAATGCACCACCTGTGCCCCCTACTGTACTAACTTGCTGTGCTTTAGCCACACGGTGCTCCGCTCGTTGTTGTGAGCATCGCTCCTCCGCCCTCCTTTGTTGTTGGAGGGCGACTGCCTTCAACTGCCCAGTAGCGTCCTTCACGAGCCTCCTCTACAGAGGCCGATCTTGACACTGCTGGTACCAGTCATCGGCAAGTCCACTCAGCTCCACGTCCTCCTGTACCACATCACCCTATCTCTTCTCTAGCCCGTGCTGTGCCCGTTTAGCCCCCTCAATCCGGCCAAACAAAAGCTGTTTAGGCATGCGGTGGCTGGGCATGCGGGCTACATGACCCAGCCAACGCAGCCTTGCCTGCCGGAGGAGCTCACCAATGGGACTTTACCCAGATCTTTCAAGGATTTGTGAGCTCCTCACACAATCCAGCCTGGTTAAACCCAGGATGGATCGTAGGCAGTCCAGCCTAAATGTTTCCAACCAGCAAAGATGCTCCATTAGGGGGGTCCACGTTTCGCAAGCGTAGAGAAGGGAGGGAATGACTGTGGCCGAGAAAACCTGAAGCTTCGTGCGGAGCGACAGACCAGGTAGCTTCCACACAGCATTACGCAACCGATGAAAAGATATTGCCACTTGACTGATTCGGAGTGAAACCTCTGCTGTTACACTGGAGCCGGTCATAAGCATACTGCCCAGGTGTGGGAAACTCTCCACTCTCTCCACTACTGCCCCATCACTGTCCGGCAAAACAACCCCCTACCTCCTCGCGGTGCCGGATGGGCAACACTGTCGTGGACAGTGCTGTGGGGGGAGAGCCAATGCCCATGGGCCTCTCCCCTCATGGCGTCTGTGACCACCACAGTGGCTAAACGGGGGCTCTGGACGGGTGCGAGGGGCTGGTAACCCCTCCACCTTCAATTTATTACCACGAAACTACGAATTAAACATAAATATGTAACTAATAAGCTTGTGCCGGAGGCCCCGGGGGGACAGGCGTCTATAACATCTCCTGGCCAAACCCCAATTGGCGGAGCCAGGAGATTAAATCTTCACCCTCGGGGCTCCTCCAAAAACAACGAAAGCCACTATGGATGGCCACGTGGAATGTTCGAACGCTCACTGCGGAGGAGAGGCTGCCACTCCTTTGTCAGGAACTGGATCGGTACTGCACACACACACACAGACATACAGACACACAGATGAGACACAACATACATCCGTCCTCGGGCCGTGACGTCATATCCGCTTCCGCCCAGTGTGCCGCTGGAGCCACGCTGCGAGCTGCGTGCTGAGGAGCGCCTCTCTGCACGAAGCCTCCTGGAGCCTCTCCCGGAGCAGTCACCATGGAGGCTCATGGGCTGCGCAGTACCTCACGCACCCTCGTGGCGCTGCTCGTGACGAGCTACGCGTTCCTCACGTCTGGGCCCACGGAGGAGAAGAATTTCTCCCCGAACTGGCTGGTTAACCTGGGGGGAGCCTGGGAGGTCCAACCGCCACAGGCCGGGCAGCCTCTACCTCTCGCCAAAGCGACCGTGGCTGTCCACATCAGCGACCGGCTCGCAGATCACGAAGCCAAGAGGGAGCCTCGAGTCGCTTCCTCTCCCAGCCATGGCGTGGAGGTTCCCCAAGGAGGAGGAGGAGAAGACGACGACCCAGCTCCCTTAGGGTGGAAGACCTTCATGGAGATGCTGCACAGCAGGCCGGTGGCCATCGCCTACGAGGTGGCGAGTGCAGGGATCGCCCTCCTCAGCCTCGGAGTGTGGCTGAAGAATGCAGTGGTGAGTGCCAGCTTCACGATTACACAGACCATAGCATGGCACCGCAACAGACACCACACGCAGAGCCACCACACGCAGAGATGTATCACGCATACAGATCACTCGCGTAGATATAAGAATCTCACTCGCATATGTAGTAGGTTCAATGAGACGTAGACGACGTAGTCGGAGGCACACTTATTTATTATAATGTTTCACTCAGCACAGGCCAATGTATACAACACTCGAAGGGGTAACGGCCCCTTCACCTGTCTAACAGGGAGACCCCATTAACTCTAGCCCGGCTAGCCTACTCCCAGGTCCTCCACTCGAGAGCTAGGGGAGGCTAGCTGATCCAGCTCTGGCCAAGCTAGGATCACGGCACCCTTAGTCACCAGACCGGCTCTTACCAGAGCATCGGCTCTGGGCTCTCGGGGCCACGCCACTGGCTTGCCCTGGTCGGTCCTTAGAAGGACAGCGATCCAGGGGAGTCCCAGAGCCTATCTAGCCGGTCTTCACTCTTCACTAGTTAAGCTGAATACTGAACCCCGTGCCCACCGGCTCACCGCCTTATATAGCAACTCCCCCACGAGGGGTGGGGCCGTGGGAGATCACAGCGCCGTTACAGCCCCCCAGGGCTAACCGATGCGGACGTGCGGGCATAACCACCCCTCGTGTGTTTGTTCGCCCTCCCGTAACACCCCTACACATACACCACACACACAAGTATATATGACATCCACACACACATCCTAGACAAAGTCGCAAACACCTTGCTCAATTAATTATGCTTAAATATTATCCACTGCAACTTTAAGGGTGTTTTTTGTTACTGGCAGCGTGGCATTTGGGACATGTGGACTCAGCTGTCCTTGTGCGGTGTTGGTGAGTTGCCCTGGTGCGGACAGAACTATTTCCCCAGCCAGTAGAGTCAGAATAATACTATTTATTTATGGTTGAGGAATCCGATGAGCTATGAAGCTCTTTTTCACAGATGTCCAGTCGGGGCTGGTAAGAACATTACAATAACAAATACTACAAAAACATGATAATAGTGCAAAGTACATGAAAGGTTAACAAATCACCCAAAAACAAACAAATAAAACTAAACCACCCCCATCATACAAAGCCCACTGAGGTACTAACTTATTTTTCAGACGGAACCTGGTCACAAATGATAGATCAACAAAGTGACATCATTTGGACATTCATAGCAGCAAAATAATCTAAATTATCGAAATAAATGTTTCTAAATGTGGAGGGAAAAACCAGAGGATCAAACTACGCAGGGCCATGGCACGTGACCAATGACTTTTGTTTATTGCCGAGAATCCAGCTGTTAGTCAAGGCTGAACTAAAGAGAGGGAAAGATACTTGTTGTCGTGCTGTACATTACAAATACTTGTGCAATGTTTTCAACAGTGGCGTCCGCGACCTCCTGCCATGCCAGCAATGGCCGTCCACACCACCAACCTCCCGAAACAAAAGGCTCGGTCGAACTTGGCCGAGATGGTACCTCAAGCAGCTTCTTCTTTAGGCTTTTGGATGACGGTTCCGCAAGATAGAGAATACCCGTCTCCCTCAAGGTGGACGACCTTGATGAAGATGCTGCACAGTGGGCCGGTGGCCATCACTTACCACGTGGAGAGCACGGGGATCACCATTACCAGCCTAAGAGTCTGGCGGAAGAATCAATTGGTAAGAGAGAGAGAGTGTGCTGGCTTCACTGTCACATAGAGAATCAGCAGGACACCACAACAGACACACACAGAGACACCACACCCAGAGAGGCATCGTGGATATAGATCACTCAGGCAAATGTCATAATCTCACATGCATAGATGACACAAATCAGAATCAGAATATTTATACTGGAGGAATCCGATGAGCTATTAAGCTATTTTTCACAGATATCCAGGAGAGGCAGGTTAGAACGTTACAAGAACAAACAATAAAAAATCACACTCACACCCTCGACAAAGTCGCACACATTTATTACAAGCATACACATTGTTCATGCTGTGGATTACAAATAGTTGTCCGATATTTGCGACTGAAAGGCAAGTACAACACCCGTGTTCAATCAATGGTGGTGGTGTGGCAGATGGCAAGTGAAAAAAAATATATGAGTGGATGTGACCAACAGGGGAAGAAGGAGACTGCAATCTCTTGCCTCTCATACTGATTTTGTTTCCGGTTTTAAACAGAAGTCATCGCAACGTGGACGAATTTACCGAAGCCGCCACATGAGAGGATCCATGTGGAAATTGGCTCGGGGCAAGCGCCACCCCATGAAAATCAAGAGGACCCACAGATCCCTCAAGACTCGGCTGGATGGCTGCTCCATGATGAATAGCTCACCAACACTTAACAGCGCACCCACCAACAGCACCACTCCTACCAACACCAGCACTCCTACCAACAGCACCACTCCTACCAACACCACCATGACAAACCCCACCCCGACCAACATTGCTATCTCGACTAACACCATCACACTTTCAAATACCACCACCTCTACCAATGCTATCCTGACTAACACCACCACCTCTTCCAACCCTACAAACCCTACCAACAACATCTTCTCCACCTTCACCACCACCAGGGCCGACACCATTACCCCAGCTGAGCGTGAGTGGTGTCACCTCATGATCATGGCCCGCACCAATGCCCGCTGCACTACAATAAGCTCAATTATCCCTACCAGCTCAACCACCAACTCCCCCGCTCCTACCAACTCCACCACCTAGACCAATCCCACGCCTACCAACATTACCTCCTCTACCCTCACTACCACTCCCAGCCACATCACCCCAGCTGAGTATGTGTCCAGCCTCATGATCATGAGGGAAAAGAGATCACTCTTCATGGCCCGGATCAATGCCTGCTCCACCACTCCTACCAACTCCACCACCTTTAGAATCCGCACACCTACCAACACTACCACCCCTCCCAACACCGCTACCCTGACCAAACGCAACTACTCCGACGAACACCACCACTCCTACCAAAACCAACCCTACCAACGCCAACCCTATCAACACCAACCCTACCAACACCATTATTCTTACTACTACCCCTACCAACACCAACCCTACCAGCACCAATCCTACCAACACAATGACTCCTACCAATACGACCACCCCAACCGACACCATCACTCTTCCCAACAACAGTCCTATCAACGTTACCTATCCTACAAACGCCAACTCTATAAACACCTTGACCCCTACCAACACCACCACCCCAAATAAGAAATAATACAAAATAAATAACATTACAACATCGCTGCACCCTTTGCATGTTAGCGTGCTGCGCTACGAAGCCGGCGACCGGAGTTAAATTTCCGCTCATGGCCAACACCAGTGATCGACTCAGTCTCAAATTAGTGCCTGGTACTCATTTAGCTGAGGCTACCTCGCATGCCAGTCTGTTAAATCTTTACGGGGGATCTTTGTCTTTGACATATCTGTGGGCTAGAGTGTAGCTTGATTTATTGTTCATGTGAGGGATGCGCTTTGCCTGCAGCCGCCACTACATCTCCGCTCGTGTGTTTAGCCGTGTCAGTGACGCGCCACGATGTCGCTACTGCTGCTGTCACTGTCACGACCCGGTCGGTGCAGGGTGCTCTGGGACGAAATAAAAAAGTGGCACGAGGATTATCGCTGCTACTTCAGCAGATCAAGAACGGTTCTCATGGAGTCATCAAAATGCACCTGAAATCACAGCTGACCATCTCAATCACATCTGTGAAATGTCAACGGTGGTGTCCGTTGCCCCTGCTGTGAGTGGTGGAGATGTCCTTGAGCAGTGGTGATGTCCCTGAGTGGCGGTGGAGATGTCCCTGAATATTGGTGGAGTCTGTACAACGCGGCTGCTGTATTCGTGATTAAAGAACCTGAGCCGAGCGTGCTTGGTGGAGCTCAGCAGAAGGTGATGAGCCGGAGGTGTGAACTGAAAGTTCGAGCTCAAGGCGTGAGCTCAAGGTGTGAGCTCGAGGTATAAGCTGGTGATGCGGTCTGGAGGTGAGCACGCGGTGTCCCTGTGCTCACAAGCGTGGTGCGGGAGGTGGCCCGAACTAAACTTTTTATTTACCAGGTAAGGCCCACTGGTCCAATAGCTCTTTTTCAGAAACTACCTGGTCACAAATAATATCTCAATGAAGTGGCTCATCATCTGAAAATATATGTCAAATACTAGAAACGTATGTTTCTCAATGTGGAGGGGAAAACCAGAGGAGCCGTAGAAGAATCTACGCGACCACGGAGAAAACACGCAAACTCCAAATAAACAGGTGTCGGGGTCGGGATCGAACCCACGTCTCCCTGTATACCAGGCGAGGTAGTTGACATCTCTCAATAACTGCCTCCTCATAGCCGTATCTCCACATAAACAATGCGAGTGGTTCTACTCATCCCGTCAGCCTTCTGAGAGTAGATCTCAGCAGCATCATTGATTCAACACAAGCAGCATCCTGGTGAGGATTGGACACTTGGTGACTAATCAGCAGTCAGGCTTGCTTGAACCAACACTGATGAATTGCCAGGTCCTCTTGGCAGGGACCCACTCTGATAGACATGGATCAAGTTCAGCAAATAACTCTGTCACGCACTGGCTCGAGCCTGGCCCTGCGGATGTCACTGGAGTGCACGGATACACGGCACCCAAAGTCAGACCCCCCCGCTCAAATATGACGTCACAAAGCTCTGCCCCCCATCCCCCCACAAAAAATAAAACACGCTTCAAATCGCTTTAAAGTATTGTCATTGTAGTGCGTATTTAATGTGCCGCTGCTCTATGATGTTGTAGGATAAAACATTTATTAAAAGTATATTTAATTAAGTAGAACGTGTTGACTATATTTATTTAAAGTTACGCATTTTGATGTGACGTCACATTTCTCAACCCCCCCCCCCCTCGTCACACATCGTCACAAATGTCTGACTCCCCCCCCCCTAGGTGCGTGACGTAATTCAAGGACGTCCTCTAAATAACCTAACCAACATGGACGTCCTCTAAATAACCTAACCAACATGGACGTCCTCTCAATAACCTAACCAACATGGACGTCCTCTCAATAACCTAACCAACATGGACGTCCTCTAAATAACCTAACCAACATGGACGTCCTCTAAATAACCTAACCAACATGGACGTCCTCTAAATAACCTAACCAACATGGACGTCCTCTAAATAACCTAACCAACATGGACGTCCTCTAAATCAGTGCTCCCCAACCTTTTTGGCACCAGGGACCGGTGTCATGGAAGACAATTTTTTCACGGACGGCGGGGGGGGGTCATGATTGGGTCTTTCCCCCTTTTCAAAGAAGCTGACTGAGACAAGTGCGCAGTGCGGGAAAGAGGCGCTCACCTCTTGCTGTGCGGCTCGGTTCCTAACAGGCCACGGACCGGTACTGGTCAGCGGCCCGGGGGTTGGGGACCCCTGCTCGTCTCAATGAGCTCACCAACACGGACGCCCGATCAGTAATCTCCACCGCCGCCGTGTGGCCACGTGGTACAACTGCAGTGCCACAGTGCGGGCGAGGCAGCTGCGGCACTCTGCGCTGTCTTCGCCGAGGGGGTCCGAGGGGGGTTGGGGGGGGGCTCTGGGGTGCATCCCGGGGGGGTCAGGAGGGGTGCGGGCACCTCATCGCGTGCCGCTTTCAGACGCGCTTCTGCGGCCATCGCTCTTCCTTCCGATATTTGGAAGCCATTGGAGCTCTGCACTTTTAAATGTCTTTGACAACCCATTTCTTTAGAACTGCTTTTTGTGCTTAGTTTGTTGTCCTTCACCAGCAGCCAGCACCTCCGATTATCGCGGTTGGCTAGGCTACGTACGGTGCGATAGAAGTTCAACATACATGTTGTATGTTAGTGCTGTATGTTGTGCATTGGTGTTGCAGCCAGCCAGAAACCGGCGCGACCAACAATATCCCCAAGCTCTGTGGTCCTACATTGGGATAATTTGTCGATACCGCGTTGGCAGTGGTGCACAAATATAACTCACTGAACACATTCGTTAATACCACGGCTGCCTTAAGAGGAAAATATATCATGGGCGATGTTTGAGGCAATGGGCCCCATTGCATGGCATATGTTTGCCCAGTTCCATTCAAGAGCGAGTATGCATGTGAGGGGAGAGAACCAACGCGTGCGAGGGGGAAACATTAAATCCCCTCGAGATGGAAATGTCTCCGCTTGCTGCGCTTCCAGACCCTGGATAGGACAGGAGATGGCGACCTTAGCGACCACGGGGAGTTTCACAACATTTGTGTGGTGATCCACACGTGCACATACACACAGACTCACACACTCACACAGACTCACTCACTCACACAGACTCACTCACTCACACAGACTCACACACTCACACAGACTCACTCACTGACACAGACTCACTCACTCACACAGACTCACACAGACTCACACACTCACACAGACTCACTCACACAGACTCACACACTCACACAGACTCACACACTCACACAGACTCACTCACACAGACTCACACACTCACACAGACTCACTCACTCACACAGACTCACTCGCTCACACAGACTCACACACTTACACAGACTCACTCACACAGACTCACACACTCACACAGACTCACACACTCACACAGACTCACTCACACAGACTCACACACACTCACACACAGACTCACACACTCACACAGACTCACTCACTCACACAGACTCACACACTCACACAGACTCACTCACTGACACAGACTCACACTCACACAGACTCACTCACTCACACAGACTCACACACTCACACAGACTCACTCACTCACACAGACTCACACACTCACACAGACTCACTCACTCACACAGACTCACTCACACAGACTCACTCACTCACACAGACTCACTCACTCACACAGACTCACTCACACAGACTCACACACTCACACAGACTCACTCACTCACACAGACTCACACACTCACACAGACTCACACACTCACACAGACTCACTCACACAGACTCACACACTCACACAGACTCACTCACTCACACAGACTCACACACTCACACAGACTCACTCACTCACACAGACTCGCACACTCACACAGACTCACTCACTCACACAGACTCACACACTCACACAGACTCACTCACTCACACAGACTCACTCACTCACACAGACTCACACACTCACACAGACTCACTCACTGACACAGACTCACTCACTCACACAGACTCACACACTCACACAGACTCACTCACTCACACAGACTCACACACTCACACAGACTCACTCACTGACACAGACTCACTCACTCACACAGACTCACACACTCACACAGACTCACTCACTCACACAGACTCACACACTCACACAGACTCACTCACTGACACAGACTCACACACTGACACAGACTCACACACTCACACAGACTCACTCACTCACACAGACTCACACACTCACACAGACTCACTCACTCACACAGACTCACACACTCACACAGACTCACACACTGACACAGACTCACACACTGACACAGACTCACACACTCACACAGACTCACTCACTCACACAGACTCACACACTCACACAGACTCACTCACTCACACAGACTCACACACTCACACAGACTCACTCACACAGACTCACACACTCACACAGACTCACTCACACAGACTCACACACTCACACAGACTCACTCACTCACACAGACTCACACACTCACACAGACTCACTCACTCACACAGACTCACACAGACTCACTCACACAGACTCACACACTCACACAGACTCACTCACTGACACAGACTCACACACTCACACAGACTCACACACTCACACAGACTCACTCACACAGACTCACACACTCACACAGACTCACTCACTGACACAGACTCACACACTCACACAGAGGTGTTTGTTTGTTTGTGAGTTCTTATCTGACGGGCACTATTTTACTTCACCGGGTGTTAATATCCCCAGCGGTTAACAGTACTCTCTTTATTGTCAGCCAACACTGGTATAAACATGAGCATTTTCGTTTCTTTTCTATCATGTGCATCCACAGTGACTTGCGCACAAACACGTCCAAGTCGAGGACGAGTAACCCGTGCCCTGTTTTAGCCCCCCCCCCTCCCGATACGTTCCATTCATTGGCTACCACATTCTGATAAGCTCCTCTCCTCCTCTCCTCCCCCCTTTACTTGTATTTAAGAGCTTGCATCTTGTATCGCTGCCTCACTTGATGCAGCAAATCTGGCTGTGACGGTCCCACCTGATGATGGAGACTTGTGTTGCCTCCGAAACGTCGTTATCTTATTGTTTTATTTTTTATTAATTTCATTTTTTACCTACGTGACTTTACCGAAAGAACTAAGAGTATAGTTCTTTTGAACGCCATTCAGCTCTCTAAGCTTCCTCACGAGAAGAGGTTGCGCTCGCATTGTTGAAGGTTAAACGTACGGCTCGAGTAGAGCCTTGTTGTCCTTCTGCACCTCCGTATAGCACGGTCGGCTACGTACGGTGCCAAAAATGTTCAACACATACAGACGGTGTGACAGCATAGGCAGCAAGGGTGTTGCGGTCAACTGGGGGTATTATTATTATGATATATCCGGTCATCCTTGCAGCCGCAGCTTTTGACTAGCCATCGAACAAAAAGATGGTCACGACATTGCACGCTTTCAGATGTGCTTATGTGGCCTTCTAGAACGCTCTCCTTCTGATATTACGAAGCCCAATAGAGCTCTGCGCTTTGAAAATGCATTTCTTTAGAACTGCTTTGTGTGTTTCGTTTCTTGTCCTTCCTCCGTACCTACGATTAGTTGGCTATGTATGGTGTGAAAGAAGCTCAATATAGATACATACATGATGCCATCCTGGTGAGGCAAAGGGGAGAGGTTCATTAGGCTCCGTGTACTCTATCACTGCACCGTTCAGAATCCACGCAGCTAAAGAAAGTAGATTGTCGTCGACCACTCAAAAACCACGTTATCACGGTGCACGCATTTCCGCATTGTAATGGTGCATGCGTTATAACGGCAGGCACGTTCTGCATTATAACAATGGTGCGTAAAATATTCCCGAATGGAAGAACTGCATTGTAGCAAAAACACGTGATAGTGTGATAACACTGCGCATTAATCGAC